TAGGGGGAGGAAGTGGGAGGGGAGCTGTTGCATTGTGGTAAACTGTGGTCAATGACATGAGACAAAGTATATGTGAACTGCTGAATGGAAAGTGAATTTGCTCTGTAAATCTTCACCCAAATCACAATTAAAAAAATAAAAATAAAAATAAAACAGGTTTCCATTCATCAATTTCCACATATATTGTTCAGTGCCATTGGTTGTATTCTTTACTTTGTGTCAGCATGTTCATTGTTTCTGAGTTTGGATTCTTTAAGAATTTGGATTGCTGTTCCATGTTTTTCTCTCTATAGGGTTTTCAAAGCTAGGACCTTTTGGAAGCAGATTGCTAGGCCTCAAAATAATAAATCTGCATTGAAATAGAATCTTTACCCTTACAATTTTGGCCTTACGAGAGATTGGATAAGTTTTGTTTTGCTTTGTATTTTAGAAGACTGAAGTTTTGGAAAAAAAATTTTTCTAATCCTAATAGGTAGAAGAGTGAGCTACTTGGAATAACCTGATTTACTTAATTTACTCATAGTATACCTGATTTACTTAATTTACTCATAATATACCTGATTTACTTAATTTGCTCATAGTATTTTCGTCTTTCATTCAAAAAAACCCAAACAGAACCCAGCAACATTCAACAGATTACTTGGCTTTTCCAGGTCTTTGCTGCATAGGCTTGTTCTACACATAATTTTTTCTATTATGGCCTATGCTCCCGATAGTCCTCTTGTGCTCCACTCTACTAAAAGCTCTTCCAAATTTCTCCTTTACTTTTGTGAAACATTATAGATTATTCCAGGCTTTAGTTCAGGTGGCCAGGTACCAATCATCTAAATACGTCTAAGTTTGTTGATTTGTTATTCTTTGAAAGGTTTTCTCTGGATTCTTTTCTTGCATTTTTTAAGCCGCAGGCACCCATTTTTCACCTTCATAGTTGATAAGAATTACTATCAGATGAACTTGTCAGAACAAGAATTAGTCATTCATCTTTTACAAAGTGGAAAGCTAAAGTTCCTTCTGCCAGAAAGGAGAGAGTGGCTCATTGCTAGTTTTCGTCATCAGCAAGCTAACAATGGGTTTTACAAGTACTGTAAAATGACAGCCCACCTTCTCTGAACTGCTGATCTCTGGAAAACACATTGAACTTGGTATTAAGACAGATCTCTTACTTGAACCCTGACCTGGGTGTCTAACTGTGGTTTTTTTTTTTTTTTTTGCTTTCATCAATTAATTAATTAATTAATTAAGATGTGGGTAAAGATTTACAGAGCAACTTCACTTTCCATACAGCAGTTCACATACGCTTTGTCTCATGACATTGACCACAGTTTAACACAATGCAACAGCTCCCCTCCCAATTCCTCCCCATAGTTACCTCTTCCCAGTGTCCATCCTGCCATGCACTCCTGCCCCCTGAGCTGTCTCCCTGTGCATAAGCAGCCCTTCTTTCTCCCATGATTGTTCTCTCCAAGGAGTGTATCTACCTCAGATAAGTGTTCAGCTCCTATGCCTGTCTTTTGCTTGGCTGGAAGCCACAGGTATGGGTTCAGTTCCAGAGCTGAAGGGCAGCTAGGGGCCATAGTCTCAGTGGTTCCACCAGGCTCTATCACACCAGCAAACCTGGTCCCCGACCCCCGCCACCTTTTTTTTTTTTCCTCCAAATGATTTTGAGTTTTGTCCACATTGTTCACCCTCCCTATCGAGGATCTCCTACGTAGATCCCCTTCCATAACTTTGGTTTTATTTGTTGACATCTGTGACGTGGTAGTGTTTTACTTTTTCTGAAGAGCACTCTTTTTCGTCTCTAGACATTCCAGCTGCAGCTTCTGTCTCCTAGCAGCAGCATTGTCCCAGCATTTAATACGGGGACCATCACACAAGTCATAAAAGTCCTGAACCCTCAGAAGGTGAGTAGCACATTTAAAGATAATATCTGAGCAAAGTGTAAAGATGTTTTATGAAAGAAAATGCTGTAAAAATTTTCTTAGTGCATTAATATTTGAAATCTGTGTAAAGAGTACTTACAATTGAGTTCTCTTAAAACTGCTATTATCTGTGAATAAAACTGAAAAAAATTCGTTTTTAATATGTCTTGGGAACAAAACAAATTTGTATATATTTATTATAGATATTGCAGATATCTTAATGTAGAGCATAAGATATGTGTTTATCTCATTTTTTTTTAGACACTTGGATTCAGGGGTTGGGTCCCTTTGCAAAGCACTCAGCAAGTGTTACAGGAAATGCTCCCAAGTGATTTTGTCCTTTTAATACATTTTTAAAATTAAAGTCACCAGTGTATTCAGGAGATGTACTTCCTGTATGTGGTGGCATGTTTCATATTGGCTCCTTAGCTAATAGTTGGAGTACTAGGTGTTTTGCTTCAGTTTTTGCTTATACAGCATTACTTAGAGACAGCTTTGCTTGTTTTTTAAAAAAGAAATGTTGACCCATAAGATTAAAATCTATTTATAGGCTGGGCAGATCTAGGGATTTTATTTCAATGTATAGCTTGTGATTCTCTTTTCCTCTTATAGCAACAGCTGCGAATGCGGATCAAGCTCACATATAATCACAAAGGCTCAGCCATGCAAGATCTAGCAGAGGTGAACAACTTTCCCCCTCAGTCCTGGCAATGAGGGTCTGGTACCATTCTCATTCTTACCCTACTCAATCAAAGGAACTCTGGGAAGGAGGTTGTGATCGCTGGCAAGTCCCCCCCAACCGTACCGTGGGCATGAGGAGCCGAAGAGCCTGTTGAGGAGGATTTTCCTAAAGTTATTGCTGACCTTGAAGCATCATTAAAGACTAATCTCCTCTCCTCCACTGTTGAGGCTGGCTGCTTCTGGAAGCTACTTTGCACTCTTCCTCCTCTTCTCCTTTTTCCACACTTCCCCACCCCTCCCAAATTTACAGCCAGAATCAACATTCCCTGGGGCCCTGAGGAAATAAGCAGCTGGTCTGGAGGAGAGACTGGAATTCATGGCAAGAAAACACTCACTCTGTCTCTGCAGCAAAGAGTTGCCCCTTCTTTCTACTGTTGTTTCTCTGTGGACTGGGTGAGGTGGGGTATTTATTCCTCACTAGCTGGGTTACCATCTTCAGGCGCTTTTTACATCTGGCATTCAGAATGGAAATGTAACAATGGACATTAGGGAGCCCTGCCTTTTTCTACTGGTGCCCCCAATGTTTGAAAGAGGCGTTAGGCTCCTGGTAGCCTTTTCTGTGCATTGCTGTATACACACAGACACACACATGTATGTATGTTTGTTACCAGGAACTGGTCAGACTTGGAGAGGTTATTTGTAAACACTGGACAGATGCAGTGAAAAAGAGCTTTGTTGACATTTGGCTTGAAGGATATGGTGCTCTATTTGTAATCACAACTTCCCAAGGCTCTTCCAGCTTCCCCTTCCCACCATTCTTTAGCTGTAGTCATGAATACGCTCTATGATTTTAAAAATTGATTCCCCTTAAAGTGCAAAGTGGATACCTTTGAAAAGATAAATTGTTAAAAACGCTCTGTTCCTTGCACACATTTAAAACATTTCTCCTAAGCCCATAACTTGCCTGTTGAATTATGGTAAATGGGTGAAAGTGGAGTTCACCAGTTTTAAAGATCAGACTCTTTAACAAAAGCACCTTTGCCCATAGGAAGAGTGAGTATCAAACTCATCCTAGCGAGTACTGGAGGCATTTTCTCCATTACTCCAAACCTCCTTTTTTATTTCCTGAGCCTGGCTTGGACCTTGGCATTCCGTTTGAATTCCTTCTTCTAACTGGAACATTTGTGTTGTATCTGTAACACTGGCACTGAAATAAAGACCACACAGTTAAAGAAATCTTTCCTATATTGTACTTTATGATGTTGGAATGAAGCCTTGTAGCTTCCTGGTCCCGTGTCTGAGGAAGTCCTAGGGACACCATAGGGCAGGAATATACTTTCCTGAGTCTGAGAAATTGGTCTCTTGAGTCAGACCATCTCATAGACATCTGCATCAAAGACTTGAGGAACTTTTTACACCAGTAGGAGTGCCGAGTGCTTTTTAGAAAGGGTCCTTGTGTCATCTAACCCTAAAATTGAGTTGCTGGAAGAAGGTAGAAATGACCGTCCTGTGGCACATATTGAATGTACTATGCACATTCAAGTATACAGGCCCATGTCTTATGTACTAAAGAAGAAAAAAAAAGTGAGGTCCACCTTGCTCTTAAAATATTTGCAATCATTACTGTATTAGGTACAGTATAATAACTCCTTTGGCTTTGGTCTTAAACCTGGGTACCAATACCCACTTTTTTTCTCCATTCCACCAAGCCTTTACTTAAGGTCGTCAGAGTCTTGTCAAATCTAGCTCTGTATCAGATGCTAGACTATTCCTAACATTTGACAAACTTGAGTTGAACTAAAGGCTCCAAAGGGACAACTGTGGTCTTATTAGTATATAAGAGCAAGCTATGCTAAAATTTACTCCACTGGGTAAATGGTTGACTGAGTCAAGAACGGGATATTATCCTTGTGCATAGTTTTCAGTAAAGTAAGTGTGGACTAGTGTATATTTAAGACAACTGTTCTGCCTGTGCAATGAAAAATAGCCTTTAAAGGATTCTTTTCCGACTGATTTCATTGGATGGATACTTAATGCTGTGAAACATGATAGGATTAACATAGTATTGGTGGATTTCTTGAATAGAATTTTGTCTTAACATTCCTCTTTATGGTAGAGGCTTTATTTTCTCTCTCATATTTGTAGTTAACCAGCTCAGGCTTTTCAGTTGAACTGAGTTGAATCTCTGAAGAAATCTGAAGACCAGTGCTGTAAGACAGTGCTGGCTCATGGAGCTGGAAAAGATCTGCTTTACTGACAAAGCACCTCCTTGGTTGATCGAGGTTTTGAGGTAGAATTACATGATCATCCATGGCTTTGTCTAGAAGGAACAAAATATCATGGCCTTAACACAAAGGGTGCTGCTTAGAACATGAATTGATTTCAGAGACTGAACCTGAGCACCCTGCTGAAGGACTAGCAGCCAAATAACTGCCTAGGATACTGATGGTTGTGAAGACTGTTTCAAATGATTGGATCTTTGAAAGCTTCAGTGTGCCTTAGTTTCTAGGATCAGAATTAGTTCTCCTGTCACTTGGCCTCACAGCTCAAAGGAGAAATCTTTTAATTACTGCAAACACTTGCACATTTCAGTTATTCTTTCCCAAGTATAACCATTCAGAGGGGAGCAAACATGGATGGAGTTACCACTTCAGAGTCATTGTGAGCAAAGGGCGATTTCCATGGCTGTTTTAATAATCCACGGTGATAAGCAGTGAGCCTATACACACACTTAAGTCAACACTTTAATATGCATTTTTACTTGTTTCCCTCTTCCAGAGTGGTTTGTATCCTGATACCCCTTCCACCACCCCTTCTCAATCCTAAAGGAGAATTTCATCAAATGAATTTCAAACAACTATAGAAAGGGTGCTTTCCCCTAGAGCTTTTCCCAGAGTGCTCCAGTGCTGTTACCTGAGGTTATTTGGACAGTCGTGGAATGTTTTATGTTGTGTATAGTGATCATCTGTTAAAGAAATATTCATCAATGTAACATTTAGGAGGGAATTCTTCCCTCTTGCTAGGTTAAAGGTGTGCTTCATACCACTTGTTTGTCCCATTAATATATGAAAATCTTTTAAATTGTTCAGCACTTACAGTTTGAGTATTTCCATCTATTATATAACATGCTTTCCATTTTTTTGTCCTAGAAGAGGCTGGAAGTTAGAAAACACTGTTTCTGAGGTTCAACTTCATTATCTTCTGCATTGGAAAATATCTGGGCCATGAAAACTAGGGGAAAGTGTTTGCATATGTTTTTCCTTGTGAATGTATTATAATGCCAGTGTCCTAAACAGAGAGAGATCTAGAGAGCAAAAAGTGGATATTGAAGAACTTTGTGGTGGGGAGAGGTTGTACACGTCTGTGTACTCACGAGTGTGGGAGTGGGGAGGATCACTGGTGAGAGAGTTGCTCGGAAAGTCCTGAAGTTTAAAACGCTTTTGACCAGCATTGGCTTGGGAGGGTAGGGCTGCTCCCAGAACTGGATGTGAATAACTCTTTTTCAGGCAATAGCAGTGAGTAGGTCCCATCTGCAGGGTTCCAGGAACTGGAGCACTTCAAAAGAAAAAAATGCTGAAGCAGCTTGCGTCGCTGCTTCTCAAACTTCCGCACGAGTGATCCTGTCTTCACGAGGGAGCACTGGAGTTTGTTTGTTTGTGTCTTTGTTTGTTTTTTAAGAACCTGCTGTTGAACTCTGTGTGTGTGTGTGTGTGTGTGTGTTTTGTTTTGTTTTTTACTTCTTGTCTATTTGGGGGCCTCATGGGAAAGAGCTTCTGAACTCTTTCCTCTGAATGCTCACTGTGTTCTGGCAAAGTTTCTTTTCTTTCATGTTGTTGTAAAGTTACATTTTCATTAAGCCCCATCACATCTTCTTTACTGTAAAAATATTAAAGGCGGTTTCCAAGAGGGACGGCTAATGAAATTCTAATTATTGCAGACATATTTTTGAGATGTAAAAGAAATTTAAAATTAAAGTGATAAGTCTTAGAGGCGAGTGAGGAATAAAATGGATGTGAACATTTACATGGGATGCATTAGAATTCTGCTGTGTGTATTGTCTTTTGGTTGAAACAAATTATGAACAGTGACTAATAATAAAAAGTCAATACTCAATGATTTAAATCTGCTTCCTTGCTTCTTACAAGTAGATTAGAATCCTTGGGTGAATTCCTACTCCAGAGCTTTGAGCTAAACTCACTGATCTATTAATGCTCCTTTATAATCAGAAATCTCAGGGAGGAGAAGGAACTTGAACAATTTAAAAACTATTAGGTGTTAATAGATAACAGAAAAGCCTTAATTCAATTGGAAATTTTAACTCTCGTTACTTACATGCTTATTTTCTCCACATACGTGAATTCTCAAACAAGGCAGAAAAAAAATCATTCCAAGGTGAAATATATATTAGAAGTGCTCATGGGTTTTAGTTGTAAGCTTCTGTTTGTGAATTGTTCAGGGAGGGCCTGAGCAGCAAAAATGGATTATAGTTCATTGTCTATTTTATATGAGCTCTTTTCTGTAGAAGTGAGAGTGGTTGGAGGTTGAAAGCAGGTTTTCTATCACTCTGATGATCCCTGACAGTCTCTTGATTGAGAAGGGGAAGGGTGTAGGCCTTGGCAATTACGTTGTTTATGCAGAAGTGCCCTTTGGAACTGTTTGATAAGCAGTATTTCTATAATCTTTCCTTGTATACAGTTTAGTTAAAAGTCATTTTTGTTTTTAATAGTAAATTTAGTTGAAACCTTTATCTATAAGTAATTAGATGAGAATACAAAAGCTATAGGAGAGAAACCTAGTCAGTAATGGACTCCAGAAATTTACTTAACAATGCAATGAATAATATTCATGTTTGAACTTCAAACCCTAAGGACCATATTCAGTTCTGTTACAAGAGTTTTCTATACTATTTTCCCCGACTCAACTATCCCTATGTTGAAAATGTTCATAAGATAAATTTTCTTCAAACCTTAAAGCCAGGTTATCACTGCCCATTTATTTGGAACCAAAGTGAATGTATCTGAATCTGTTCAACCTGTGGTAAAGAATTTAGATGTCTTTGTGATCAGAAAAAGAATAGGAACTAGGTATAAATAAGTGATTGTACTAAGTATCTTACGGCTTCTCTTCCAAAATCCGACGGACAAGAGCTTTCTCTCTTTAGACTTTCTCCCTATATTGTAGGGAAGATTGGGAACTGGAAACCTCTCTTGGGAGGAGGGTGTGTGTGTGTGTGTGTGGGTGGGTGTCCGTCCGTCCTGAGGTGTGAGAGAGTGTGTGTGTGTGTCCGTCCTGGGGTGAGAGAGTGTTGTGTGTGTGCGTGTGTGCACGCGTGTGCATGTGTGTATGTGTGTCCTGAAGTGAGAGTGTGCCCAGTTGCTGTAGGAAGGACACATAGCAGGGATGACTTCTAATGCTTCTGTGCTTATCGGCTTGATCCAAACAGTGGTTTTTGTAAATTGTGAACCTGCAGTGAGGGCAGATGGATTTTTGCATTTAAAAAAAAGTAGAGAAATTTATTTTTAGGGTTAGTCTCAGCTGTTTACCATTTCCAGAAATTATAGTTACATAACCCTTGGCATTCATAATGTACACTGCCTTGAACTGAAAGCATGAATATGTGACATTTGAAGCAAAGTATGAAATGTTAATGGTAGTAAATGACTTGAAAAGTCAAAATCAACTGGTTGTCACTACTGAACTGAAAATTTGAATCTTAAATCATGGGGACCTTTAAAGGTTCTGCATCATATTTTATCCCCTGAAACATCTTGCAGGTGGCTTTTCCCCCCTCCTTTTGAAAGGTACTATTCTGAATGAATGCTTTGGCATTTCCCATTAATTAGAAAACCACAAGACAAAGCAAAAATCCCAGCCATCTACCAGTGTTATTCCCCAGCACAAACCTTAACTCTGGGCCTGAGCTGGGACAGGATCTTTTCCCTACAGGTTATGAAGCAAGAGCTTGTGCCTGTGAGATGTGGTAACGTATAATAAATAATACCTTAAGAAACAGGCTTTCAGAAACATTTATTCTGAACATATTTTTATTCTAACCACTCCCTGTCTGCCTTGGTCAAATCACTTCTCTATCTACACTGGTGCCTATTCCTTATTGTTGCTGGAAAAATTAAGCACCAAAAGGGGGTATCTGACTAGTTTGAGGAGGTTTCTTGAAAGCAAGTTCATGGGAAAAGGAGTACCCAGCAAGTAGACAACCTAAAAACTTTCTTCACTTTCACCAGGTTCTCAGACACATCATTTTTAATTCATTAAAATGAGACAAAGCAAATGAAGATTACAGGACATTGAAATTTTGGTATGTTCAAAGTGAAGGAAGAAATAAGTCACCATCCTTTTTCTTTTACAGAAGTAGTAATTGGTACAGGGTCAAAGTCTTCGAAGAGCCAAATTTTATCCTGGAATTTAAAATACCTCCAAAAATGGATACAAATCTCAGAGAGGGAAACACTGCACTGTTGGATCTCAGCCTTTCTTGAACTAAGACTACAATTAAAATATTTTAGATAGTTAGCCTGGACTAGGCAAGTATGTAGCAATGGATAATAGGTAATGATATCTTTGCAATTTTTTAAAGCTCAAGAGATTATTGGTTTTCTGTTGTTAAATTCCTTACAAGTTCCTTGAAGATTAATGAACACCTGTAAGAGGGGAAGGCTTAAAAATCTAAGATTGTAGAAGGCATCCTAGGGAAAAAAAAATATTTTTTTGTGGTTGAAAATACACATAGCAAAACCAACCAATTCAGTTTCTACATGTACAGTTTGTGACACTGGTTACATTCTTCGAGTTTTACAACCATTCTCACCCTCCTCTTCTGAGTTGTTCTTTCCCCGTTAACAAACTCACTGCCTCCTAAGGTTCCTGTCTAATCTTTTGAGATGTTTTCAGTTTAATCTCATGTAGATCTTAATAAAGCGTAATGCTTAAGGCAGACATTCTTTACTGGTTAAGCTAACCTGCTGTTTGGTTATAAAAAGCTTTCAGGGGGTTTTGATTTGATTTGGTTTTAATTTTTGTGATTTGGGTGAAAGTTTACAGAGCATACTCATTTTCCATACAGCAGTTCATACACATTTTGT